TTGACATATCGATCCGATCAGATCAGTTCTAGTGTTGGTTTCAATCAATTTTAGTTTGCAATCTGGTTGTCGATATTCTAATGACACTTGACAACTTGATTGTTAATATTTTGTTAGAGATATAGTAGATGATTAAGTTATTGAATAATTTCTTAGTATTGTACAGTCCTATAGTACAGTCCTTAAGCCTCTAACATCCTCCATTAAATCACATATCCCTACAATTCTTTATTTTTATTTTTCCTAGTCGTATAAATGTGTGCTTAAAATAAATGAAAGCACACTCGTTAGCCCGGGGAAATGAAAACTTTCTGGAATGAAGAGAAAACTAGTGCACAACATGGAACAACTGACATCCCTCGGTGGCAATGTTCGGAAAATGCACAACACGGGATGATGCACTAATTACTGCTGCTGCCAAGTGGAAATGAGGAGATCTGGGAGGATTGGGGAGCAGTTAGGATGGGGTGTGAGGACAGTGGTGTGTTCGTAAAGTGCCTGTCAAGGTGCGTCAACGGACATAAATACACACGCGCGCGCCGCATACGCATACTTCAATGACGCACTCTGCGATTTGCAAACTAATCTGCAATTTATTACGACCCTGCCAGCCCTGGCGACAGGTATTTGCGTACAGAACTCATGTATGTACAGAGATGCCTCACTTGCCTCCATTGCAGGTTGGCCTTAACTTAACTTGGCCCGGCGACTCGTCAAAATGATTTATTTTTGATAAATTGCCACGGCCTCCGCTCCACACACTAGATGCAGCAACATCGAGGCAATTTTGCAAATGATTTACACGGAATGACACGGAATTTAATTTCGAAATTCGCAATTGCTGTTCACTCTGGGTGGCAAACATGAATCTCTCACTTTTCGCATAGGGCGGCGGCGATTCCCTTGGCTCCATTGCCATTTCCTCTGAAAGGGATAAGTCCACATTATTTATAATAGTGCTATCATAGTCAATCCGTCATACAGGTCTGTGCCCCATCCGTATAATTGTCTATTTATAGTTTTATTGGCGCAAATGGTGGTGTTAAATACACTAAAGAAGCTGTCAAATAAATTAACTGGGGGATGCTTTTATTTTAGGAGATATATCTGTGGAAGTATTCTACTTATTTCTTATGGCTGATAAATTAAAATAATGTTGCAGACATAATGTTACTCTTCTCGGCAAAGTTTGTGTAATTATCTTTGGTAAAAAGTTTTGGTAATTTATAAAACTTTGTATATCCTTGAACTCATTTTACTTCAGTGGAGTATCTACAGGTACGTACTTAAAAGCTTGTTTGTCAATCCCACTGGAGGGACTTTGCGACCGAGGTGGTTAAGGAAACTTTTCTTGTCGAAAGCGGCAAGGACATGGACCAAATTGCAGTCAATTAAGCAAAAGGAAAGTTTTCTAATATAGATTTATTTTAATATGGTTCTTAAAACAATGAAAAGTGTTTTATGTTTATAATTATTAGGTTCTATGGAGCTATAAAGGTGTTTCTACCTTGGCGTTCAGTTTATACTGCCTGCACCCTCTACTTAACCCATTTATTTCCATTTAAAGACCTCTATGGAGCCAAGTGCTGACACTTCCGGACGTGCTAATCATTCCAAATACCCCCGATTTCCCACTTTGATCGGTCATGCCGTCGCAATGCATGTGGCAGTGTCAGTCGTGACGCATGCCACCGCCGGACAGACAGCTGTCCATACAAAGCATCTACTTATAATTGCCGTGGGTATATAGTCCCTGATTCCTAGTTACCCCCGATCTTGGAGCTATCACGTGCTGTGTCGCAGTGTCAGGGCGAGTGTGAGGGCTTGGCACCGATAATTCTGGAGCGGATGGCACTCCAGGCTCGAGAAACCAATTGGAAAACTAGAAATCACGTCAATTGTTGCGACAATCAATCGTGACTGCGGACGGGATGTGTCAAAATGCCGACAAAAGGGAACGCACGCGTTAAGAATTCGGAGGAAAGGGTCGCTGGATGGTGTGGAGGGCCGCTCGATGGGTCTATGGATCGGATCGGTTTCCGAACAACCTCACCAAATCGACTTTCGACTTTGCCGGCAATGGGCGGGCGATCAGGAATCGGCAATCGGCACTTGAACACCACAAAGAGAACCGATTTGTTGATTTGTTTTCAAAAAGTGAGTAAATAAGTATGTTTCCATTTATGAATGTTTGGAGAATGTTTGTGTGCTGTGCGCGCTTTTGTTCTGTTTGATCAGCAATTTCATTTTCGAGTGCTCGATAAGATTTCCAGGTGCTGATATCTTATCACAGCGACTACTCGAGCGATAAAGCCCACCACTGATTGGTGAGTGGTTCCACCTTTTCCCCACCTGTTCCCTCTGGAAAAAAATGGAGAATTATTTGGCCTGGCCATATAGGTGGAGGATTATGGCAATTTGTAACAGAATCTTTAGTGTTGAAACATGAAACATGGCTCCCCTTGGAGTCGTGTTCTGAATTTTCCCAAACATTTATATAGAAAACTACAAAACACAAACAGAGGACCAAACAAAAACAAATTCATTTAAAGCAATTTGCATGAGAGTCCTTTTTGTGCTTGTTCCGGTGACTTTATCGTTTATCGTTTTGCGAAAAGGATTTTATTATTATATTCACCAGGATAGGAAAGGATAGTCTCTATGCGAGTCTATGTATGTGTGCCTTTTGATTCAAGGAAGATTTTTAGCCGAGAGATGGTAAAGTGTGTGTGTGTGTGAGCCACATACTGAAAAGCGACAATTTCATGTCCAAATGCTTTCCAGGTGACATGAAACAACACTTAAGTAAGAAGCCGTCCGGGGGGATGGCCGGGCAGGAGTGCCTGCAACTCTCTCACTCGGCCAGCTGTGCGGCAGGATTCTGCCACCCACCGCCTCCCTCCACCGATACACACACACACACTCGTAGCACACATTAGCAGTTAAATTTGTCCTCACACACAGCCAAACACACACACAGATACTAAGATAGAGTGAACCAACGCACCTGGCGTCGAAGAATAATATCTCTTAACGCCAAAATCTACATTTAAATTGTTTTCAATATAATCTGCATGTCCTGTCCACCGAGTGAGGAATGTTCGAGTTTGTGTCGCACTCTAAATGAATGGAGGAGAGCTCAGACAATGGGAGTCCTGGGAGCAGGAAGGAGGCTTCAAGGAGTTGCAACATGTGCCCAAGTTCGCATATGAATATGGATGGCATTATCCCTATAGCAGTCACCTATACCCCTTAAACATCTGATTCCCTAGGCTCGAAACTGAAATCCTTCCAAATCAACTGGTCACACCCAGGATCTATGAAGTGGGTGTAGAATTTCGTGGCGCCGACGAGAGCATCCAAAAACCCAGCCGACTATAACCGAAATGATCATGAATTCTGGGCAGGCTGCCACTTTTTCCAAAAATACTTGAATTTACATACGAGTACATTTGTAAGTGCCCCAGAATCAGAAATCAGAAAAAAACTAAAGGACACATGTTCGTTTCTTTTTGACTTTGAGATGCGCTCACATTTATAATAAATGGCAGCGCGTTAACACCCCAAAACATCAAAATACTCATTTTACAGAAATTCCCCAAAAATTGTTTCCTCCGGCTGCCTATCCCCACGCCCCTGCCCCTGTCCCTGCCATTCCGTTAATTAGAAAGTACTTGAGAGCGGAGGACCCTTCCTCGAGTGGACCAGTGCCACGCCCACACCCTCGGCACGGAATGGAAAGGGATTGTTTGTTTATTTTTTTCCCCATTTCGGTGTCTTGTTACGATTAGCTAGTGCCAATTAGTTGGGATTTTTCATGAAGGGCCCTCTAAGCGTTCTAGTATTTAAAATAATCAATTGGGACAATTTTCGTGTCTTGTAGCTTATTTATAAAACATGGATGAATTAATTAGGGAGATGTCTGTGAAATATAAATAGGAAAATATTAAAAAAGAAGGCAGTATTATTGTAATTAATGAAAATTATTTCATTTATAACTTTATTTTAATCCTTAATATTATAGTACTTATGGCACTAAACTTTAAACTTTTTTTGAAAAATAAACTCTAAATAAATTTAATTTCAAAATCAATTTTTTATATATTTTTCTTAACCGATCTTTTTAAAAATCTTTAATTTTAAATACTAACTATAATACCATACTCTGACATAAAATCCAATTGGGAAGCCTTTCGATCGTGGTCCGCCATGAAATCGCTTCCAACGGAGCTCGAGGGGTAGGATGCCAGAAAGAGAGAGCCATCCGTTCGAGCCACTTTCCAGTGCTCGGAGATGGGCGGGCTCGAACCGAAAAAGTGGAAAACAAAACCCCACATCCCCTGTGTAACCCCTGTGAAAGTGGCTTCCATCTCTCTTTCCTGCTAGATTCCAATACAAGGGAGGGAGTGCGATAGCAACAGTGGAGTGCTCCCTGTCTGATTGGAATGCTGGCCAATGGGAAGGTCGTGTGGCAGGCGCTCTCTTGGCAGCTGCTACTTGAACCCCTCGAACCAGACGCCGTCCCTGTCGCACCACACCGGTGTGCTCTTTCCAGCACGGCCGCGTTGCTCGCCGGGTCACCAAACAACAGTTTCTTTCGAAACGCGAATAGGTGCGCATCTTCGCATCCAATACACCGGTGAAACCCGCCGACGCGCCGAAGAAAAAGTCGAAAAAGCCGAAAAACCCGATACCCAGTCTTGGCCAAGTCATCGGCCAGCCAGCCAGCCACCCGTCACCGTTGAGATCCCGCTGACAGGTTGTGGAACCCGTTTTTTAGATCGGATCGGTTATCGGCAGATGCAACCGCCGTAAAAAAAATTAAAATAAAAAGTGCGTGCAATAATTAAAAATTAAAAATAAAAAAACCCAAAAGACAAAAATATTAAATGCCTTAAATTGAGATAAAATATTTAAGGAGAAACCAAAGGAGAAATTTAAAAAAAGAGACATGTTTTAATATATGGATTAGACTGACACAAGGATCCTGAAGTGTTCTTAGCCTTAAACAACCGTAGAAAGATCAGAGATGTCAGTGTAGATTTGTACATCAGCCGTAAATCTGTTTGCGACAAACACTTGAAGCCAATTTGGTTGTTGTTTGCGGTGTTTGTTCACAAGCCGGCCGCCAAAGAGTCACAGAGTCAGAGTCAGAGCCCAGAGTCAATAAAAAAAATCAAGTATAAACGGATAAAAAAAAAACAAAAATAAAAGTAAAGTCACACAAAACAAACAAAACATTTTCCGGCTCCGGCGACATTAACAGAACTGCTCGACATCGACAATTTGTTTTATCAATTTTCCAACAAGGCTAGCATCAGCAACAACAAAAACAACATCGACAACACCCAACAAGCCAGCAAACAACAAAAGCGCCCAGAGTGCTTAGCCGTCGAGCACGCACGCCAAATCCACCCAGTCCTCCCAGTCCACCCACCCATCCGGCTCCCGCGACAGCCTCCCCTCGGTAAACCCACCCACCCCTCGGTGAAACCCCTTTTGCGAGGCCAGCATCCTGGCAGCATCCTGGCAGTGCCACCCAAAAGAGCCAAACAGTAAAACAGCGGACGCCCCACAGTGAGGCCAGGCACACCGTGAACTCTGTGCCGTTTTTTTATTATCACCAGCCAGCACAAAAGGCGAGACAATGGCTGCATATGCGCAGTTTGGATACGCTGGCTACCCGACGGCAAACCAGGTAGGTCTCCCCAAGGCCCCACACACCTTGTAGGATTTCTATCTGATTATCTGAATTTGTGAAATTTTAATGATTAGTTTTAACGGCCAGAGGTACGAAATTTGAAACCCATTGAGATAGGGCTTAAACTAGGGTTTTGTTTATTGGGAATATTTATTTTTGTTAAAGGTGGTATTTATCTTATGTTTTGCATAATAATATTACAAAATAAACAAGGTTTAGATAGGAAAATTTTAAGAATATTTAATTTTTAATTTTGAAACTCATAGCAAGAAATAAACATTGTTATAACCATAATTTTAAAACCATTTATTAAAATCAAGGCTGTAAACATCTTAAATCATCTGAGATCTTAAAAAAAATACTTTTTTAAGTAAATATTTATTTAATTTTGATTTACAACTCAGTCATTTCAATAAACACCCATAACTTAATCATTTCCATTTCAATATATGCCTCGAAACATGAAATTTATTAAGACATTAAGAACCAGTAGAATTAGTCTCTGTTTGAAATAATATTTGGCACATTTTAGAGACCTCTGAGATATTTTTTCGCAAAAAAGCTCAAAAAAGCAAGAAACCAGAAATTTAGTGAGTCAGTTGGCAGATTTTTTGGCATGTGCGAGGGAGATCTTTAATAATTGTCGGTGCTGGGCGAAAATAACTTTAAAATTTACATTTTAAGCCCCTAGGGTTGGGGTTGGGGGTACGACACATGAATATTCAAGCAGTTTTGGCACCGGTTTTGCTCCTGGATCCATTATGGCCGCCGCCAAGAAATGTTTCACAATTTAGGACAGCCGTCACCGCCATCGCCATCGCCATCGCCTTGCAAATGCAATCTGCACCACCTCAAGGGGCGGCGGGGTGCTGTGGTGCATTGTCCGAGGTCTGGTCATAATTACCCTATAAGCCGAGGGCTCCAGTAATTCAAATTAGTTGGCCAGAGGTTTTTCGGGTTTGAGTAACAACACTTGGCCACGGGACCAGTGGTGGAAGGGCTGTGTAATTCCTTGTTCAACGACTACTACTGTGGTCTAATGCATCACAATGCTAGACTTGTGAGATGCCTTTGCGTATATATCTTCCGGCCACCGGGGTCTGTGTCCTGCCGCCAATATGTACATACATACATATATAAAACTATATGTATAAGCCGTATTCCATGTGCCATGTCTGGTGGCATAAATTTATGCTAATGAAGCCGTCGGAGTGGTGGACCATTTATTATAATATGCAAACTTGCTAAATTACAATAATTAAAATAATGAACGCTCAGATTATCGACTATAATTATGGGTCTGGGCTGCAGATGTGCAGGAAAGCCACGTTCGATTAAAAGCCACCAGGATTTTGTCAACATTTTAGTCTCATTTGCATTTGGCGTTTGTAGCCCGAACATGAATCCATTTAGCTGCCTACTAAGCCCAATTAAAGACTGGTCAAGATACTGGTCAAGTATCTGGTCAAGACTGGGTGCCAATTTTATAAACTTTTTTGGTTTTTTTTATGAAAAATTAATGCAGTGCACACAGAATGCCTCCTCGAATGCATTAATTTAATTTTAATTTCAACGCCAAGACGGCATTCCAAAAATGATGGAATGGAAAAAAAATATCAACTCTGGCAATGCAATATATGAATTTAATCAACGGCTGTCAGTCCGGACCACAAATGAACAGAACCTCGTGAATTCTTAGCTTCCCATGTGAGCTGTTCACGCATTTCATGCCAAAATAACTCAAATTCTAAGGATCCGGCAAAAAATACGCTTAAACGGGAGGCAACGCGACGCGACAACATCGTCGTCGTTGTCCTCATTGAAAAAGGACTGGGGGCCGCTGGTGATGCGAGAAAAAACTAATATTTCGCAGTGTGCATTCCATAATTGATTTATGAATTTTTAATGCAAACATTGAGACTGCAGTTGCAGTTGGGACAGAGTTGTACCAACTACTGGTTGGCTGCCGAACTTAATTCAATAAAAGGAAGAAGGATGCCCGGGCAAAAAACAAAGCAACTTATTCGCATTAGCAAAAACGCACTCTTCAGGACAGGCACGGCCTCCTTGTGCTTTGTCAGTACAGATAGAGAAATTCTTAGTTTATTTAAAAAAAAAGTTTTAAGAAAACTTCAGGTTCTTTTCTAGATAGAAGTGATGTTAGGGAACTTGTATGAAAGTTCTTAAAGTCTTCAAAATAAATATTTATGGAACACCATTTGAATTTCTTCTTCTGTACTTTTAAGAATGGGTATCTGTATGAATATGGCGTACTCGTTTGGCAACGCAATCCTGCGGATGAATGTGAGAATATGCCAAATCCAAGAGGCAGTTGCCAGAGGAGTTGGTTTTTGCGAAATGCGAACATGTGTTTGTTTTTAGGGACTTGTGGACTTGTGGTCTCTTGGCTGACTTTCCTCTGCTTTCTGGCCGGATCCCCAATATTTTTGCTTATTGTTTTGGGTGGAGGCGAGAGCCAGCAGTGGCGTCAAGGACCCCTCCCAACCCACATACCCATCGATGGCTTTTGTTTCGCAGTCTGGTCGTTAGGAGTGTGCAGAAAAACAAAATCCATAAACGCATTGCATCTCTGCGGTAGCTGCAGCGAAACGGCAGCACCAATAACCACACAACAAAAGTACAATGACGGTGGGGCAGGAGCAGCTTCTTTGTCTTGGGTATTATGTGGTTGAGGAGAGTACCCAGTACGTAAGTCTTTTAGGCATTTGGTAGGCGGATTCGTGAGCTTTAACATAAATCATAAAATTAATAACCGTAAAGTGACGGCACCAGTTTTCCCAACATCTTTTCGGCCCCCCAACCCGACTTTTGTGCGGGTGGCATCGTCTTGCCTCTCGATATGGACATGGAAATGGATATGGATATTGTTGGTATGGCTATGGATGGGATATGGGCACTTCAAAGGCAGAGATAAAGATTTACAGAATGTCCATCCAAGTCGAATTCACCCGAAATACGTTGCCTTTTCCAGCTGTTTTTGCAGATTTCGTGTTCGGCTTGTTGCAAGGTTGAATTGCCACTTTGAACTCTGGCCGTCGAGCGTAAAAATCTGGCCTACAACACTCTAGTAGATGATGGCCTTCATCTGGAAAACATATCTTCGCATCATTAAATTAGGAGTGTGTTAGCTTATGCCCAGATTAAATCGTATATCATTTATTTGAGTAAACAAAAGCAGGCAACATCATTTATGGTTTATAAAACTGTTTACGATACTTGGCCTTTAATGGCTTCACCTGAACTGGCTTTGAAGTTCCCACTGGGTAACTAATCTTTAAAACGGTCATAAAGTAATTACATTTATTAGCAAGTTGTAAAAAATAAATTATCACTGAGAGTTTTGTATGCCTTATTATTTTTATTATTTGTTTGTTTCTGAAAATATTCAAACCCTCGAGCAACCATCAATAATATCCCTCAAGAAATTCAGTAACCGACTAAGATAGATGGTAGATACTCTTGTGGCACCTCCAGGAATATCCTTTATGAAACTGCCCGCAATTTGACACCATCACCCAGCCAGGCAAGTCATAAAAAGAGCGCACAACTTAAAGCCAACATTTAGGAGCTGCCAACAAGTTTCAGCATTTCCGCAGAATAGAAACCCAAACCCAAATCATGAGAGTCCAAGCCCAACCCCAAAGCCATGTCGAAGGTGGGTTCTGTGGAGTGTGGACTGGACTTATCCTATCTGCAGTCACCTTGCGATAAACTTGGTTGCACTTCCTGCAAGCCTGAAAGATTTCGCAGCCGGTCGCCAGAGTGGGTGAGTGGGAACCATTAAAAATAAACTGACTTGCGTGCCGATAATAAGCACAGCTCGGTGGCTGGTCCGAGCTCGGAGCTCCAAGTCCCAACCAGTTCAGGCCACTAAAGTTGCAGGTCCATGTCGTCGTCGTCGACGCCGTCGTCGCCGATATGTGTTTTTTTATGGGCGGCCACAAAAACTGAAATTGATGTTCGAATCGCATACAAAAATAAAGAATAATAAGAAATGAGCGCAGCGCGCCCAGCGTTTTGTCCATTACCGGAGACAGTCGACGCCGACCACTCGACCACCGCCACTCGATTCATTCAGAATTCATTAGATTTCATTCATGAAAACACCTTCATTATGCAATAATTTCAGCTGGTTTTTTGGCGTCCCTCTGGTATGGTATGGTGTGCGAAATTGCCCCTCGATTAGATAGCCACTCCAGGCGATCCATTCCGGGCAGTAGGTGTTGCCGAATCAGCTCGTTTAGCCTGGAATTACCATTATTATTTAAATCATATGGGCAGGATTGTGCAGTAGCCGCGATAGGGCGGAGAAATGGTTAACCAAACAGGACACAGATTGTTATTTGGAAGCGCGTGAAACTGAACCTGACAGGCAGCCTTTTCGGTATAAATTCTATTTACACTTTCGGCTGAGAAAGATGTCTTTAACCGCTGGCTCATATGTCTCCAATTCGGTTCGGTATAGGGGATATATGGTAGAGGGCCTACCTCTACCTACCTGCCTGCCCAGCGTCTCTCGTCATTTGATTGCCCTTTTTTTTGTGAGTTTGTGTTTGGATGCGACCGTGCCCAAAACCGCTCGATCGATCGGTCCACTGATACACTCCGGCTGCGGATGACCCGAGAAGAACCCTCTTCAAAGATCCCCGATGTCCGTTGCCCCGATCCCTATCCCCTCCTAAAGGCAATCCCAATCCGAATACGAATCCCGATGTGGGATGCTCAGCTTAGCTCAGCCTCGGACGAAGCGGTATCTGAAATCTGACTGTGATAAATTGAAAATTAATGAAGTGAAAATAGATGGAACGGATCGCAAAATGCGCCAGGCCAATAAAATATTTTGACATTTGGAGTTATCATCTTAATCTGCTTTGTTGATTTCGACCTGGCCGGCAGGGACATGCCTTTGCGCTTACCTCTCCTTAGGTCCTCTGGGCTGTGCCTTTGGGTTTCTTCATCCTTCGGTTATTCTTGCTTTTAGTCGTTTCTTGGCAAAACTCACCTGTTCTTGCACTGAAAGAAGCGATAGTTTAGTCCTTTTTTGATGAGAATTAAATACATAAACATGGATATATATTGAAACATTGTTTTTGTTCAGTGTATCTTTTCTTTTACCGCAAAAATGTTTGAAGTTTTACTTTTTTCCTGGATCCTGCTAAAATGTGGTATTTATTTATATTATTTTTCCATTGGCATCTTTGCAGCTGACTACCGCCAACACGGACAGCCAGAGCGGCCATGGAGGAGGCTCGCCCCTGTCCGGCACCAATGAGGCCTCCCTCAGTCCCTCGGGCGGCTCGACGGCCACCGGCCTGACTGCCGGACCCTTGAGTCCAGGTGCTGTTTCGCAGTCGTCGCACCATGCGGGTCACAAAGGTCACATCTCCACCTCGCCGACAGAGGACGCTGTTGGCGCGAGCGGAGGCGGGGGCGACCTGCCAGGTGGCGGAGGTTCTACCGCCCAGGATCTGCCCGGCCGCGGCGGATCCTGCTGTGAAAACGGACGACCCATCATCACGGATCCTGTGTCGGGACAGACCGTCTGCTCCTGCCAGTACGATCCCACCCGTTTGGCCATCGGCGGCTACTCCCGGATGGCCCTGCCCTCCGCCGGAGTGGGCGTCTACGGAGGACCCTACCCATCGAACGACCAGAATCCCTACCCCAGCATCGGAGTGGACAACTCGGCGTTCTACGCACCACTGGTAAGCATCCGAATCCGATTGTTAGCCTGGCTAATTGGCTTTGTGCAGCCAACGGAAGTCCGCAGTCGCAAATGCGAGACGACAGCCCGACCAGATATCGCCATGTAGCCCGTCAGCTCGTTAGGCTCGTCGTCGTCGGCTTGTAACTGCCGCGATTACCTGGGGGGCTGACAGATCCGAGCCAGACTTACAACAGCTCCCTAAGCTGTGATCCCAAAACGAATGAATATAAACATAATCCTCTTCTTGCAGAGCAATCCCTACGGCATTAAGGACTCTAGTCCCAGCACTGAGATGAGCGCCTGGACGTCGGCGAGCCTGCAATCGACCACTGGTTACTACTCCTATGATCCCACTCTGGCGGCCTATGGGTAAGCAAGTTTTGAGATTAATATTAAGGGAAATAGATCTAGAAGTTCAGGAGCTTAGGGGGATATTAAAACTAGACCTTGGAGGTTCTTGGATAAGATGATATACATTCTGATATATTTTAAGCCTTAGAACAAACCAATTAAAGTTATTTAACTTGTAGTTGTGGGTCTCACTGAACCAATATACAAATGGGGAAACTTAAGTGGGCTTAAAACGTAGCCATGGGACAAAAACTTTCTAGTCGTGTCGTCTTCGTCTCGGTCGTCGTCGTCGTCTGCTGGGTTTCTTTTTTATTTCAGTTTTTTATTTATCGCTTAAAAGGGTATGTCTGGCTTAGAGTTTCAGCCCCGAGGCGAGGTTCTCCAGCCAAACAGAACAGAACTGAAACGAAATGGAATCCGCTTTTGCCATTTTCTGTTGACCTACGAGAGGAAGTTGCAAATGCATTCCGCAATCCCCAAAGGGAACCCGATAGGGATTCTTATCAGCGATTCCGATAGCTCAGCTATCAGTATTGGTCTTTAAGGTGTGTGGGATGGTGTGTTTACCCGGCCACATGATAACGAGCCGGAAAATGATTGTTTCTTTAAGCAAACTCATTAGTGGCCAATGATTGGATGGGGATGTGGTTATAGACTAGACCTTTATTGATTCTAGATGTTTGATTTTTGAAATATCCAAACAGGTATGGACCCAACTATGATCTCGCCGCCAGGCGGAAAAACGCCACTCGGGAATCCACGGCCACCTTGAAGGCCTGGCTAAGCGAGCACAAGAAGAACCCGTACCCGACCAAGGGCGAGAAGATAATGCTGGCCATCATCACCAAGATGACCCTCACCCAGGTGTCCACCTGGTTTGCGAATGCCCGGCGACGCCTGAAAAAGGAGAACAAGATGACCTGGGAGCCAAAGAATAAGACCGAGGACGACGACGACGGCCTGATGTCCGACGATGAGAAGGAGAAGGATTCCGGCGATGCAAGTGGCAAATTGTCCTCAGAAGCTTTCGGTGAGTTTTGCCCTCAATTAGTACTCGACGACTGCGATCTGTTTTGTAATTTCTTAAGCCCCCGGTATATTGTTTTCTAAACGCCTTGGCCGGCCCATCGATACGAACGCCTTTCGCCTGGCCTGGCTTTCTGGCTGGCCCGCCTTCTTGCCAGATTTGTGGCACTGGGCTTTTAAGTACAATTTATGTGGCGAAGCGAATGTTATGCAACGTTCGTCTGCCGCTGCCCCTGCCCCTGCCCCTGTCCGTTTGTCCGTCTGTCCGTCGTCCGTTTATTTGTCTGACTGCTTAGGCGACATCCTCCCCGGAAGTTGACAGCACATTGTTGGCAAAGTGGCCTTGCGCCCGCACTCCCAATCTTATCTTACACTGAAACAAATAACAAGTATTATTTATATGAAATAAAACCTATAAAGACTAGAAACTCTATCGTTTTTCTTAGTGCATTCGTACTCCAAAGTGGCCTTGTTCGAGTTGGCGACACATAGAAGTGGTGAGGGAACTTGGTCTATAGTTGGCGGAAACTCGAGTATTTTGCCGCTGAAAGCTTTCTCCGCTGGCTGTGAGGGTTGCACGCATCAACGCCCACCAACAATTTCAAGGGTTTTTGCCACAGTCAGCTCCGGCTACGGCTATGACTCCGTCTCCGTCTCCGGCTCCTGCTCCGGTTGGAGCTCCAGCTACAGCTGCCAGCTGCCAAGTTCCACCTCCAGAAGTGCCAAGTTTTGCAGTCCTCTAAGAACTTGTCTGCTTCCTGCCTTCCGACTTGAAATTAATTAAATTTATTTTGTGTCCTTCTCGTCCTCACTCTCTCCTTCTCTCTCTTGTCTCTTTCTAATCTTTAGATCCTGGCAATCAACTTATCAAAACGGAGCTAGGCAAGGCGGAAAAGGACATTGCGGATGGTGACCAGAAACTGGATCTCGACAGGGAGCCGCACAACCTGGTGGCCATGCGAGGCCTGGCCCCGTATGCCACGCCTCCCGGTGGCCATCCCAGCATGCACGGGGCCTACGGGGCGTATGCGCAATCTCAGAACACGCATACGCACCCACAGCCGCATCCGCAGCAGTTGCATCACCAGCAGCAGCAGCAGCCACAGCACCACCATGCCATGCAGGACCCACCCTACTATCATCCGGGCTACGGGCAGGAGGAGTCCGGCGGAGACTTTACGGCCCAAAAAAACCCGCTGAGCAGAGACTGTGGCATCCCAGTTCCGGCGAGCAAGCCCAAGATCTGGAGCGTGGCCGACACAGCCGCCTGCAAGACGCCTCCGCCCACCGCGGCATATCTCGGCCAGAACTTCTACCCCCCCTCGGTGGAGCAGCACCATCTCACCCAGCAGCAGCAACAACAGCAACACCAGCTGCAGCTGCAACAGCATCCATCGCAGCAGCAGCAGCAGCCGCACCACCCCCACCACCACCTGCATACGATGGAGCTCAGTTCGCCGCTGAGTATGATGAGCAGCTACGCCGGCGGATCGCCATATTCGCGGATACCTACGGCGTACACCGAGGCCATGGGCATGCACCTGCCTGGGGGCATGAGCAGCAGCAGCAGCTCCTCCGGATCCGGCAAAGTGCCCACCCCTATCAGCATTCACCCGGCGGCCCAGCGGGTGGGGTTTCCCGAGATCCAGCCCGATACCCCGCCCCAAACGCCGCCCACTATGAAGCAGCAGCTGAACAGCAGCAGCGGGAGCAACAGCAGCAGCAGCAGCAACCACAGTTCCTCGGTGGCTTCCATGGTCAACATTTTGTACAGTAACGAGGGTGGTGTTGGTAGTAGCTACGGTGGTTATTTGACCGAGAGTCGTTCTGGTTCATAATTCACTTAGGATAGAGCTCCTATTAGATGATGACCTTGAACCATATACTAGAGACAGATACGTGAGAGACGGATAGTAGAGGACAGATACTAGATACAGATACCAGATACCAAATACAAAAGCGAAACTACTTACACATTTTTGATGGCGGGACAAGTGCAAGTTGGCGGGCAATGCCGCGATTACGATTACGATTACGATTACGATAGCGATAACTACACTAATTATTTTGCAATAAATGTAGCTTAAGTACGGCAATAAAACTTTATTTCCTACCATATCATAAATTATTTCGCTTTATAACTTTAATTAGCATATTTACGCTCAACCGCTGGAATTTTCAGCGCACGTCGCCCCAAGGGGGCGGTGGGTCGGTGGGCTGGTTGATGGGGCGGTGGTGCGCCCACTTCGGTTCTCGAGACGCACACACGCTGTTTTTGTCGTGCTGCTGTCTGGGGTTGAGTCACCACGACGTCTCCGGGTTTAATGACTCGAAATAAACGCACACGGCACATCCAAACCCATTCATCTTGCCGTGTGTGCATGAGAGAGAGATACTCTTGGTGGCATACCACCAATAATAATGCCAACAGTCGTACTACTACTCCACAGAGCCACCAACTTATAAATCACCCGAACTTTTGTCTTAGCCTCGTACTCAAAACAATAACACTTCCTACCTTAAGTGCTTAATCCACACAACTTAATAATTTTAAATAGAAGCTCTGCTCCGGCTCCATCTCCGGCGTTAGAACTTAAGAAACTTTCAAGTTGTATTAGAGCTAATATCCTGCAATTAGACAAACGGAGCGTTAGTTTCCCAAATCCCGGAGTAGGAAGTAATTACCTTAAGCCCTTTAACTCTATATATATAGATATACTTGAATATATGTACGTATAATCGGCCAAATAATTAATCCGTGCAAACATAAATAGTTACTTTAGTCTAAACAACATGTAATTACGTATTTTAGCCACTCGTTTTGATAAATTTGTAGTGAAATTTAAGTATCTGTGATATATGCATATAAACACCTACATACACGTACATATACGACTTACTATATAAATATTTACAAGCAATTAGCAGTGGCATTTTAGTTAATTCACACATATTTCTTCAAACACACAAAATGCAAAAACTCACACACCACACCACCACTGGTTCTGCGACTGGTTCAAGACACACTTTTAATGGCGTACATTTTGTAATTGTAAATATTATAGTAATCTATTTATGTAAATTTGAAAAATTTATTAATAAATAAAGTTGATTAATATCATTGAGTCTGGTGGAGATTATTTAAATTAAATACTTGGATATACAAATGGTTTAGATGCTCTGAAAATTCGAGTTATTAATATTTGGGGATATAATGAAAAGCTTTACTTTTAATACCTCATACTGGATATATTTAAATTGTATTATTTTTTTAAAGATTAAAAATCCCTTTTTTTTATAAAACCTTCTATATGGGATTATAAATGGTTTATAAAAGTGTCTGCCCCAACCCACTGAACCTAATTAATCGCCGGCAACATGGGAGCGGTTGCTTTTTTCGAAGAAATATATATAGATACATATATACATTCAATCACGGGCCTCATGTGTGTGTCGTGTGTCACATCTATAAATGAAAATAATAAATCGTCGGTGTCGCATTATAATTATCGACCTACCCATAACAGCTCAGCACTGGAATGCCACGGATTCGGACAATTCCAAGCACTGTAATACAGATTGACAGTTGATCCCTTTGAAAAAACAATGCACCATAATGATCACAAAAGAATATACATACAAAAGAATGTATATACTCAGATATGAAAAAGTTGAGTATAAAGCTACCTGTGCGTAACCAGCAGAGAAAAACAACTTCATTTTATCAGATTGTTACACATCATGTGAGACATGCGCCTAATTAGTGTGACTTCTCGAACAAGTTTTATAAATACTTTAGAAATTCTATAAAGGGGTCTATACAGGGGTTTCTAATGCAAAGAATGAAAGGAATTGAAACAGTTGATTCAAACTCGAATCAAATGCAAATCTCATGCCTACTGTCCTACACAAAAGCCCATTAAATCTCCAGCGGGGTATTCACTTTCTGAAAAAGACAATTAGATAAATTTTCGGGAATTTTCAAATTAGTCGCCTGAATCATGTGCAGCATCTGCAGTCAATTGCAGGCCGGGATGCAACGGCTGGCACTAGCTGCCTGCAACACGGTCCGGATCATAATGAGTCGCTGCAGGAGGACCGGGCCGAGTCCAGTTTTGGCTTTTTGGTGGAAAACGACAACATTAATTTACCGCTTGGATCTGTGCGAGCCCGGGCCCCATTTTAAATTAACCCGAAACATGTTTAGGGGTTTTCCGCACAATTGCCTCTTCGGTGCAATGTGGCAAAAAGGATTTGGTGCGGGCTGCATAAAGGATTGCAACAGCATCTGATGCCCGTTGGAAGCATTCGGGGGTTGTTGTAATTGAAAAGTCAGCAACAATAGAAATTAAATCTATTTTAAAGAGAAAAGAGATTTCTTTGTGGTAGAGCCATGGCTTGCAAAATAAATATTATTCGCGATATCCGAATAATTTGTTTGGACCAAAAGTTTTTCCCTCAAGCCAGTGCAATTAATTTTATATTAAAATAATAATAAAACATTTTCTGGCGGAATATATTGATATATATATTATAACGGCTCGTGTTCAGACCTTTTTGTTAAACAAAAGAAACTTGTCGCGTTTTCAGATGACAAGACCACATTTGTGTTGTGGGCGTGTGCAGCGAATCCGGATCCGGGGCCTGGAACATGAACAGGTCTATTGGGGGCTTCAGGACGCACACGTAGAACATTATTCGGCTACAAAATGGCCAAAACAACAAACCGCTATAATTTACCATATTTTATGGCTGCGCCGTGGCAATAAAATCGCCAACAAGGCCAATAACTCATTCTAGAGCGCTGGCGCTGCAGGGTGGCTGGGGTAGTTGGTAGTTGGAAGTTGCCCCCGCCGCCGGTTTCACGGGACACCATTGCCCCCATACCACCTCCTACCTGCCCCAAGGCCCCCTTGGCCCTGCAACTTCCGCGGTTGCACAACACAACAACAAAACTCCCGCTTGCATTCGGTTGGCTTTTAAACGGATGAGTGCGCCCGCTGATGGAGCCACTACTAGCCAGCACTACCACTGCTACCGCCTAACAAAAAATACCAAATAGCCTAGCTTTTGGGCCAGCAGCTCTAATTTGTATTCCCACCCCACCACCCCCCGGGGCAAGTATTTTCAAATTTATCTATGCAGAAACGTGCATTGATGGGCTGCATGTTTATTGCCGGCCTGTCGTCGTTTTGCAGTTGGCCGATGGTGGCTGGTGGAAAAAATATACCCCACCCGCAGGTCCGAGATCCCAGGCCCAACTGGACAATTGGCAATGAGCCCTGCACTGCAGCCCTCGGCCACTGGCTATTTAATTAATATATTGTATATTTTCCAATTGAATTCCAACAGCCACCACTCGGCGGGGCCTTGGGCCTTCTATTTGGAGCGTGTAAAAATAAAATGAAAATGTTTTGTGGCTTTCGCCCAAAGGACGAGTGTTGTCATATTTTTTTTCAACCAACTGATACACGTTAAATAAAATTTTAATAGGTAAAAAATTACAATATTTTATAGGGGTTTTTATGGTCATATCTTATTGTAAGGAGAGTGCCACTCTGATGTTGAATTAATGTCTAAAATATATTAAATTTTAAGATAATCTTACCTTTTAAATTCTCTTAGATAAAATATAGTTTTTATATATTTTTAACACCACTTTAATCCACAATTTTTTATATATTTTTCCTTAATTCTAAAAATACATGTAAAATAGTTAAAAACTCCCGCTGATCAAACGCGATTGTTGAGGTCTAGAGGCAGCAGATGCTTCTGCCGAAGCTGCGGTTGTTGTTGTTATTGTCGTTGACCGCAAACCGTCTAGACCAAACCGTGTATATCCTGCCGGACAAGGACACCCCTTCCAAGGAGGGGAAGGAGGAGCTTCAACAGACCAAGAACCGTGCGTGCCGTGTCTTTTAAATTTTTGCATTCGACCGATATAGACCAGTAATGAAGGAAGGATACCAAAGCAGGCCCTATAAGACCATGCATATATATCGGAATTGGAGTTGTCCCCAGAGTGTCCGATGTAGGAATAATTTAAATATTTAATTAACACATTCCGTCGGCCTGGAGACGCCATCCTCGCGCGTGTGTGTGCAATTAATGCAGGAATAGGCGCAATTAAGTTTGTCGCCGTCCGCTCCGAGCCGGGATTTGTTGTTGCCAGAGGGCTTATCTCGTGATTCCGATCGAGCTTTAACCCAGGAATCAGGCTCGTCGAGATTCTCAGCTTGCAGCAGCTACGCAACTTGCTCTTCCAACGGAGACGATCGGCGGCGGCGGCGGCAGCCCCCAAAGATTTATCTGCATCCGGTGTCCAGTTACCAGTTGCCAAGTTAGCCAAGTTGCCGAGTTGCCAGTTGGCAAGTTGCAAGTTACCAGTTGCCGGGACCCATTCCACGGACATTCGGTTTGAATGATGCGCATCTTGGTCATTTTGGAAGTAAATTTGTGTGCAAATGGGCTTTTTATTTGGCTCATGTTTCTTTCAGCGATGGCTGTCTGACTAACCAACCAGCCATCGAGCCATCGAGTCAGTGAGCCAGTAAGCCAGCTAGTCAGAGAGTCAGCCAGCAAGCCTGCCAGCCGGTGTATCTGTATCTTTGGGATACCTGCGCCAAAGATCGCATTCAAGCTCGTACGCTGTCTGACATGAGCAGTTGCGGAAATTCGCCATCGTCGAGATCAAGGATCCAAAGTGATGATAGGATACTCATAGGTTCTTAGCTTGCGAATGTTCATAAATATTCTGATTCCGGTGGGAACTAGCTAGGGGAATTTCTAGACACATGAACATTTGTTTCTGTAAGATTATGAAGGAAATTACGGATTATGTTGAAACTACTTTAAGGGAATGAGAAGATGACAATTGGCCAAAGAATCATTTTGGAAAACTTGTTAGTGTATAGCTGCGACATTTCATTGCCGATTCAATAACGGAATACCATTTATGAGTCAGGCCTTAAATCCCCTTCGATTTGGATAAAAAAAAAAAAAAATTCGATCCAATTTTTGGCTAAGCTCCTGATATTCCTTAAAATATTTAAAAAAATGGGTCACATTTAAGTTGGTCAAGTTTTGGTTGAAAATTATACTACTCAAAGTTTTATAATCGGAAAG